ACAAATAAAGAGTGCCACATAATGTTTCGAGGTCCGCTGGCCCCGAGCGACGGACGCAAGGAGGTTGAATGGGCCGGCGTAATCGACCCCGGTGGACGTGAACGGAGCCGAGGGAGTGACCCGTGAAGAGGGCAGATTGCCCATTTGTTGTGCACCGACTTGCGCTCGTTGACGAGTGCAGGTGATGCATTGGCGAACGAAATTTTTGATGAGCGCGCGGGCGGACAAGAGCCAGAACCGCTGGCGCAAGACACGCAGCGTAAGCTGGGTGCCACCGTGAAGGGTGGCCTTGTGCGCCCGATCAATCAGTAATCGAACAATTCGATGATCTGGTAGAATAATCGGATGACGCTCATTGTAAGAGAGTGGAGCGTTCTCGAGCCGCCCGCCCAGGCGGATTAATCCATCAGGTCCCACGAAGGGATTCAATTTGCGTAGGCAGCTTGCTCTGGGGAGAGGCTGCTGCTCGTGGAGCGATTTCCACTCAGCTGCGAGACATGTGCGTTGCACGAAACTCCACCAAAAGATCTCGGCGGTGCGTATTTCGGTCACGGACAAAGGCATGGAGGGTCCCGAATTGCCTCTCTCCCGGGCACGCTGGACAAACCGCTTCACGTATGCGGTAACGCGGATGAGGGTTGTCCAGGACGAAAAGCGATCAGGCAAATCCCACGGGGGGACCGAAGCAACGTGATGCGACGCCACGCCCCTGACTTCGTGGAGAGCGGCGTTAAGCGCGGTCCGCGACGGTGCGGATGGTCTGGGCCAGCACTCCGACGGGCGCGCCAACCAAGCCGGACCCCGCCACCAAAGATCGAAGTTGACAAGCTCCGATGCAGAGAGGCCGCGGGAGGCACAATCGGCGGGATTGTCGGCCGACGGGACGTGGCCCCAGCGCGCGGACGGGCAACGAGTCTGCACCGCCGATACTCGATTGGCAACATATGTCCGCCATTTCGACGGATGCTGAGTCACCCACGCGAGGGTGACCGTCGAGTCCGTCCATCCGTGGACGGGAGCGTGACTTAACTGAAGCAAGGTCTGGAGCCACTTAAGCAATCGACTGAGTAACACGACCGCGTTAAGTTCGAGTCGGGGGATGCTCACGGTGTTCAGGGGGGCGACCTTGGTTTTTGACGCGAGTAGGCTCACGCGGACTGTGCCATCCGGGCCAACGACGCGTAGGTACGCGACGGCGGCGTACGCGCGCGCGGACGCATCCGCAAACCCGTGTACCGCGATGTCCGCGTTGGTGTGATGGATCCCGGTCCATCGAGGGATTCGGGCACGCTCGAGATTTGGCAGGTCGGCGCAGTACTGCATCCAGCGATCGCGCAACGTGTCGGGAAGCGGCTCGTCCCAGCTCACGCTCGCCAGCCAAAGTTCCTGCATAAGAATCTTGGCGGGAATAATGGCCGGGGCGGCCCATCCGTGCGGATCATATAATTTTGCGGTGAATGCTAGGACGGAACGCTTCGTCGCGATAGCGTTGTAGCACGAAACTTGAAATTTAAAGGCGTCCTCGCGGGGCAACCACGATAACCCCAGGACTTTGAGCGAATCATCCTTGCAGAAGTGTAAATCTGATATTGCTTTCTGGTCGGGTGTAATAAATAATAGATATTATTATGAAATGAAATAACGTATATAAGATAAAATGAAAAAGAAATATAAGCTTATTTTTAATATTGCATATATACTTTAAATAGGTAAATAAATATGCAGAAAAATTATATCATTTGATAATTTCACAAAGTAATTTACAGTTTATAAGTTAGGATACTTTAGAAGTCATTTACATTGAAGGAATATTAACTACATCTTATTATTATAGACATGAAAGTATGACAGAGAGTATATTAACAAGTACAGTGATCATTTGTTGTATATAATTTTTGAAGAATCTTACCATCACATTGTCCACTGTTTTAGTTCTTTGTATTTTTTGCACTGACCTGTCATCACAACTAGTATTTAAAAGCACAGTATCGTCAGTATCATTATTCATTAAAGTTTCATTTTCAAGAAGTGTTGCGTCAAGTATCTCTTGTGGATTAAGAGTGAATGTCAGAGATGGAGCCACAGAAGGCGTCGAACTAGCCATAGGAGTCGTTGAAATATTAGCCAAAAAAGGCGTCAAAATAGTCATAGATGGCGAAATACTACGCACAGAAGTAGAATAGCGAAAGGTGTCGAAACATTAGCTACAGAAGTTGTTGAAATAGTAGCCAAAGACAGTGTCAAAATAGTAGTTGTAATAGCCAAAGGTGTTGAAACATTAGTTACAGAAGTTGTCGAATTAGTATCTACAGAAAGCTCAGAAGAGGTTTCTATTTCTTTGCTTAAATCTTTGAAATAATTTTGCAGTGCAATTCTTGCACCAATCGATGAAATTACTTCTGTTAGTTCTGGACACCGATTAATGACCATGTACTTCAATGTATCATACTCGATATCGTTATCTATATTAAAAGAATAATACATAAATAATAAAGTAAAAGCATTATACACCGGAATGTTGTATCTGAAGAGATGTTACTAAGATAGGTTACGGCGCGCGTAATAAGATAGGTTGTGACCGGACTTTACGTCAAGAGTATAAAAAATTCTATGAATGACCGTAATTATTATTATCGGACTATTTAAGCTGGCTCGAACTCCGTCACCGAAGCGCCTCAGCCTAGACACGAATACACGAATACTCGCGTCCACAGGTTCTTGACTGCTGCTCTCTCTCTCGTTAACGACAACTTTATTTTCAGCAACACCGATTACTTTAACTTTAATACTTTCACTTTACCTTTGTTCCAGACATCTGCCGGCTCAAACCTCGATTGCGAAGCGCCACAGCATCCGCCCGGGATATCTTACGGTCGCCACCTCGTTTAACCGACAACGAGGAAGGAAGAGCACCGCTGCCTTGGATCTCCGTCGGTGAATCAATCAGCTCGCGGAAGCAGCGGACGTCCTGTCAGCTCTCTGATGGAAGCAGCAAAGCTGAATGCGAACAACGATGCGTGGGAACGAGCGCTGGGATTGTGAGATGCGGTATCCAGTGATTCAACACAAGGATTGTGTGAATAAAATATGTTTATTAAAAAACGATGCTTATAATTCTTCGCACTCACACACTCGATCATACATCACACACGCACTCGTTGGATCGATAAGGAAAACGAGTTTCCCTCGATCTCGGTGAAACGCACGATAGCGGACACACGCGCCGTGTCGCGGGTCACAACGCGAGCACCGTCGCACGCTTCGCCGTAGAAAACACGAATTCCGCGAAAGCCGAAGGATCTCTCACATCCAACGTTAACGCGTTTCACAAAATTCGCGGGATTTCGTATGTTCGCAATAAATAACCGCACTACGCGCTGTCGCGTATTATATGATGCGCGGTATTCACGAGACTGTAGACTTGCTCGCGTAAGTTCGCGTATTTCGCGAAAAATGTCGAATCCGGTTTTAATTGAATTTGCGCGGCGTCGCCCGATCTATTAGTTATCGAAAGCGTTGTTAAACGGCCACGAAATTCGTTAATTACGACGCGGAAC